TTGCATCACTGTAGCGCATATTGAATATTATGGGTGAGATGAAATGTGCATTGATAGTTGCAGTATTTGAGAGAAAACAGAGGAAGAAAGGCTGCTGACTTTTTGGCTTGTCTGGTATTCTTTGTAGTGTTTGAGAAAATTCAGCTGCTCTTCCTGAAGTACAAAAACCCAGCTGAGCCAACATGTAATGGAAATGTTTTGAGAAAATCGATGGAGAAGAGAAGGTGGATAGTTCAGCTATGAAGTAGACACATGTTTCTAATTGCCTATTTCCACTTTCTACTCAGTGAAAAATATCAGAAGCCATTGAAGGAAATTATGTCTGTACTCTGACATAAATCTTTATGCAAAGTGTAATTAGCTGTCAGTAGCATTTGCCACCATTGAGTACCTGATTATAATAGTTGCTTGACATCTTTCGTGAGTGAGTGCTGGAGGGAGACAAGACACACCTTTTGCTGCTGGCTTTTAAACTGTTTAATACAAAAAATGGTGGGTGCTTGGGGTTCCCAGGTTAGTTTCTGCAGGGGTCGCCAAACTTTTTCCTCTGATATCCTCAGAGGCTCCCCTTTCCTTCCTCTCCTTTCCAACTGCCACACCTGATCTCTTCTTCTCTGTAGCTTTTCCACTGCTCTTCTTTCCTCCCTTACCCTTTGTCATTTGACCTTCCCTCTGAGACAGAGAGCAAGAAGGTTCTCTCTCTGCCGAGAAGGAAGAGGCACCAAAAAAAGAGCAGTAGATGCAAATTTGGGCGTGATTCCTTTCTCCATTTCAGATAAGTAAATGCGTTGGAGGAGATCCCAGGACTAAGTAACTGTATGTTTAACCTCTTCTGAATAATAATTTCCATCCTTAATTGAGAGTCAGTCTCTTTTTTTTCCCCAATGTTTCACAATGTCTGAATCAGATTTTGTCAGTGTTTGAAATCCCTCCCTCTCTCCCCACTTGTTGTGGCAAGGAGCAGTCCGAGGGCAATGCCTCTGAGACCCATTGCATTATAGCTTTGTCCCTTTAAAGTCTTCCTGCCTCAGAGTTCAGTAACGGTAAGAAGCTCCCCAACCAGGGAGGCAATATTCTGCTTTAAAAGCTATTGTGATCTTTGCTGTTGCTGCTGCACCCGTGAGAGCCAACCTGTGGCCAGGGCTCAGGACACTGCTCCGAAAGAGGTGGCCGGCAGATTGAGCTGGTGCGGAGAGGGCAGTGCTAGCCAGGTGCGTGTGACCCCATGGGCCGCCCATGCAGTGGCGTGGATGGGTATAGAGGTCGTGTATCTGTGCATGTGTGCGCCTGGACACAATGCTGATGAAGCTATTCCTGCAAGGGAAAAGTAATTAAGTGTATTATTTTCTTCAGTCTGGTTGCTAATTTAGTCCGGATATGTTAAACACCGTAATTACACACACACACACACACACACACACACGCATGCTAAAAACTCTTGTTCTCTGTCAGGAGAGAGAGAACGCGTGTCAGACCCAGCCTTCAAGCTCTGTTAGTTTTAATTTGAGTTTTGGAATTAGTAATCAGTTTTGCTGGAACACTGTTGCAAGAAATAGATCTTAGCATGCATGGGGCCTGGGCACAGTTTCAAATGAGTATTTGTTAAGAAGAAGCCATTCCCTTGTCGTGTTATGGTACATTACATGAGATTTATTTCCATTGTATTAAAAAATGCAAGCCCAAGGGGAACGTTCTCTCTTCTTGTTGGCCGGGGGTGATTTCTAAATTCCATCCGATTTTTTTTGTGGGGCTTTTAATTAAAACAAGGAGATGCAAAACGCCTTATTTTTCTAGGCTGTTGTTACAGTGCCAGGAGGCCAAGTGGCTTGAAGCATCGAGAAAGGTGATGACACCAAGTAAAAAGCGTTTTTGTTGTATCACACCTTTAGTGTGACTAGTCTGTGTTTTTCCCATGTGAGAATGATTCACAATAAAAATCTGAGGCTTTGCTCTTACTGGAGCCATCTGCTCTTTTTGTATCGTACCAGGAACACATTGGATCTACAGATAAGTTCGTTTGGCAGGAAAAGAGCCCTTTCATCTACCAAAAAAAAAAAAAACCAACCCCGAAACACC